TGAAACCTCGACCTTGAAAACACAATAGATTTATCTTCTATTTGTGTCAAAGATTATAAATACAAGTGCCAATATCACATTTTAGTGTCAGTTGTACCGACTCCGTGGTGTAGTGGTTAGAGTGTCTGCCTAGAGAGCTGAAGGCCGCGGGTTCGATACCCGGACACATCATACCAAAAGATGTTAAAATATGGTACTTGTTGGTCCTGCCTCGCGCTTGGCATTAATGGGTACAACAAGGAATGGTCGGCTCTGAGTCAGTATAATGTGTCTGAGTGGGGTATTCATGCTTAACTGCGGCATGGTATCTCAGTGAGCTAGCCCTATAAAACCAGCTTAAGTCTGGGCTAGTACAAGCAGCCACACATACACACACATGCACGTAGTCATGTGAGTGAAATATTCTTAAGTACGATGTTAAACCCCATTTAACCTCTCTTTTAGTGTCAGTTGGGGTTGGGAGTTTGGAGTCAAATTTTGCACCATCTTAACACTCTAGTTGATTCAGATGAAGGTAACGAAGTCTCTCTTTACAGTGAGATAATATCCGTTGTGTCATGTATAAAACTTGGATTATTGTATGCTTGGTATTTTTTGTTCATATGCATTGTGTTGTGTTTTCAGTTGATACCTTTTATGTGAACTTACCATGTGCCTTAAACTAATCCTGTTGTGTTCTCAGTGTGTCAGGGGCCAATTATATTCTTTTTGATGAATCATTGTTGGATTACGAGTTTAGTTTCATATGCAAATGATATTTTTGTTACATGTTAATAAAATCTGGAAATCACCATGCATTTTGTTCTCATTCACACAAAAATAAAAACCAAAAATGTTTCCCACTTGAGTTCACTCAAAAGTAGGAAGGTGTGTCTTCATTTTTATGTTAGAAACACAGCTATTTACAATATGGCTTTAAAAACTGCTTTCAGTGCACCAGAACACGATGATGAGTGAGGGTTTTTTTACGCCGCACCCAGCAATATTCCAGCGGCAGTCTGTAAATAATCGAGTCAGGACCAGACAGTCCAGTGATCAACAGCATGAACATCAATCAGTTGGGATACGATGACATGTGTCAACCAAGTCAACAAACCTGACCACCTGATTCCGTTAGTAGCTTCTTAGGACAAGCATGGCTTGCTGAAGACCAATTCTAACCCGGATCTTCAGGGGTCAACACAAAAACCATTCAGTGACAGAATTGATCCCCCAGCAATGTATGCTGTTGCAAGAGGTGAGTGAGTATGGTTTTACGCTGGTTTTAGCAATATCACGGTGGGGGACAACAGAAATAGGCTTCACATATTGTACCCATGAAAGGAAGCGAGGAAAGGTCTTGAAGACTCAGCTTGACGAGTGAATGCTTAAGTTAACCCCCAGGCTACCCCACTGCCCCTTTAGAGGTGACAATATGGATCTGATGGTCATTCATTGACAGCATGGATCGACTTTTACAAAATTACTCACCTGATTGTATGGTCCAGACTCAGTTATTAACAGGTCACTATCATTTACCTCGAATATTGCTGAAAGTGGCATTTAACAGCAAGCTCAAAAAAAAAGTTAAAGAATGGTTTATCTATAGTAAAATGCAAAAAGGTAAGCATACAAATTTGGAGAATAACTTTATGATGATAAAAGATATGGCCTAGAGTCAAAGGCTTATGATAAGAAATGAATGCATTTTGATATATAACATGTTTTATTCAAGAAAAATATAGAAACAAAATAGAAAACATGTCAGCATAATGTTCTTAGAAGCTGGGCGGGAAAGATATATATAAACAGCAGAACATCCACTGTTCAGGATGATGCGATTATCTAATGTATGGACATGTATTTCAAGCAAGGTGGAATAGGTTACCGGTACATATTCATACAGATTTACTGTCCGATCTAATTCTGATCATTATTATGAATATATTTACAGATATGAATATGATCTAAAACAATTTTTAATATAAGTGAGAACAGGCATAGACTAAACTTTGAAAGATCAACACCAGATTTCACTGAAACCAAATTTCGTTCAGCTGAGAGTGAGGAAAGGTTGTGGGAGAAAATCACTTAGGTCCCTTAAAATATGTTTCAAAACTTCACAATACTGATAACAGTTATGTTTTTTCTGCAACTATATGCCTTTTGAAGATCTTCATTTCAGTAACATATGTTATATTTGGGTACTTTTAACCTTCATTTCAGGTTTCATATATATATATGTTTGTTGTACATTTTCTGTTATTATGTCATTGAACAGCACATTGAAGCAGTAACAGAGAGCATGAAAGATCAATAACAACATAAAGATTTAAAGAAGGGTTACTTGGTGCAAGAAGGAAACAATATGTGCAAGCTTAGATAAACATGGATGAAGACTGAAACAGGGCAATGAGGTCGAACAGAAAAGTATACTCATCAATATGATGGCATCCAGTACACACTCTACTCTAGTCTACAGGCAGTAGATGACAAAAATGTACAAACACATCATGCTTATTAGTAGTAGCAGCTCAGATCGACAGTGACTAACACCAGTAGTATTTCAGACTAACACCAGACTGGTACTAAAGGTACCTCAGACTAACAGTACCTAGCCCTGAGGATACTTCATACAACACCTGACACTAAGGGTACCCTGGGACTAATACTGCCTAACAATAAGAGTACCTTGGACTAACAGTACCTAACACTGACAGTACCTCAGACTAACAGTACCTCACACTAACAGTATCTCAGACTAAAAGTAACTCACACTAACAGTTTCTCAGACTAACAGTACCTCACTAACAGTAACTCAGACTAACAGTACCTAACACTGACAGTAACTCAGACTAACAGTACCTAACACTAACAGTATCTAATAATAAGAATACCTCAGACGAACAGTACCTAATAATAAGAATACCTCAGACTAACAGTACCTAATAACAAGAATACCTCAGACTAACAGTACCTAAGAATACCTCAGACTAACAGTACCTAATAATAAGAATACCTCAGACTAACAGTACCTAATAACAAGAATACCTCAGACTAACAGTATCTCAGACTAACAGTACCTAACACTAACAGTATCTCAGACTAACAGTACCTAACAATAAGAATAACTCAGACTAACAGTACCTAACACTAACAGTATCTCAGACTAACAGTACCTAATAATAAGAATACCTCAGACTAACAGTACATAATAACAAGAGTACCTCAGACTAACAGTACCTAAGAATACCTCAGACAAACAGTACCTAATAATAAGAATACCTCAGACTAACTACTTAACACTAACAGTACCTCAGACTAACAGTGTCTCAGACTAACAGTACCTAACACTAACAGTATCTCAGACAAACAGTACCTAATAATAAGAATACATCAGACTAATAGTACATAATAACAGTGTACCTCAGACTAACAGTACCTAATCTAGCAGTATCCAGACAGGACCTAATAATAAGAATACATCAGACTTTACCAGTACCTAATAATAAGAATACCTAGACTAACAGTACAAATGTAAATAAAACACCATTTCAAGACTTAAGAATGCCTCGCTTTGTTTTATGTTAAGCTATAATTTAATATGCACACACAGAGCTTGGACTGTTAAATCTCTCAGTACTAGTGGAATCATCTGATTATTCTAGTATCCTTTAATAAGCAGACAGTAAATATTCAGAAAGGTTATAATATAATAATGATTATGTCAGACAAACAGTAAACACTAACCTCAGCATGAGAATACCTCAGACTAACAGTACCTTAATAACCCGTCCTCCAGAAAATTCAGACCTCAACAGTACCTAATAATAAGAATACCTCAGACTAACAGTACCTAATAATAAGAATACCTCAGACTAACAGTACCTAATAATAATAAGAATACCTCAGACTAACAGTACCTAATAATAAGAATACCTCAGACTAACAGTACCTAATAACAAGAATACCTCAGACTAACAGTACCTAATAATAAGAATACCTCAGACTAACAGTACCTAATAATAAGCATACCTCAGACTAAAAGTACATAATAACAACATAATAACAAGAATACCTCAGACTAACTACTTAACACTAACAGTACCTCAGACTAACAGTGTCTCAGACTAACAGTACCTAACACTAACAGTATCTCAGACAAACAGTACCTAATAATAAGAATACCTCAGACTAACAGTACCTAACAATAAGAATATCTCAGACAAACAGTACCTAATAATAAGAATACATCAGACTAACAGTACCTAATAATAAGAATACCTCAGACTAACAGTACCTAATAATAATAAGAATACCTCAGACTAACAGTACCTAATAATAAGAATACCTCAGACTAACAGTACCTAATAATAAGAATACCTCAGACTAAAAGTACATAATAATAAGAATACCTCAGACTAACTACTTAACACTAACAGTACCTCAGACTAACAGTACCTAATAATAAGAATACCTCAGACTAACAGTACCTAACACTAACAGTATCTCAGACAAACAGTACCTAATAATAAGAATACCTCAGACTAACAGTACCTAATAATAAGAATACCTCAGACTAACAGTACCTAATAATAAGAATACCTCAGACTAAAAGTACCTAATAACAAGAATACCTCAGACTAACAGTACCTAATAATAAGAATACCTCAGACTAAAAGTACATAATAACAAGAATACCTCAGACTAACGGTACCTAAGAATGCCTCAGACAAACAGTATCTAATAATAAGAATACCTCAGACTAACTACTTAACACTAACAGTACCTCAGACTAACAGTGTCTCAGACTAACAGTACCTAACACTAACAGTATCTCAGACAAACAGTACCTAATAATAAGAATACCTCAGACTAACAGTACTTAACACTAACAGTACCTCAGACTAAGAGTACTTAACACTAACAGTACCTCAGACTTACAGTATCTGACAGTTAGGGTACCTCACACTGACAGCACTTAATACAAATGGGAACCTAACCTAAGCTAACGGCATAACACACTGATGGCATGTTACCATACACTGACTTTATTAATCACTATTGGTGATTTAACATATATTTCCCAATGAAACAGTACTTCGCACAAACAGTACCCGACACTTTCAGCGCTGTGCACTGACATACCTACACAAATGGTAACTTACACAGGCTATGCCAAACCCTAATTCTACTTTGCACCTGCATAAACCAGCCTCTGATGATGCCTCACACAACCGTACTGGACGGAGTAACCTCGTACATCCTCCGAGTTTTCACCTGGTTCCTCAGCCACCACATCGTCCCACAAATACATATGAAAGCTCCCACACCCAGCACACCAACCACTGCCTTCATGGTTATGCTCAATCCAGTGTCCCCATCTGTAACAGGTCCACCATGTGGCTTCTCTAACACTGCTGTGTTATCATCAACCATGTTCACAGTGCTAGTGGGAGATATCTTAATATGGCTTGATGTTGGCAAACCAGCTGCTTTTGTGCTCTGACCTCGCGATGACATGGAATACAACCTGGATGTCCTGTCCATGTCCTTGCCCACATCCTCCGTCTTCTTGGTCCTATGTGTAGCGGATGATGATCCCGTTCTTCCATCACCTTCAGCTGCAGAATCTTCTGGAGGAGGACCATCAGGGAGAACATCAGTTGCCATGATTTCACAAGAATCATCCGAGCATGAACTTCTTTCTTTATCCAGAGTTTCTGAATCTGATATATATGAATGTCCATACAGTGGACCTAATGAACTTGTATGGGATGTACAGGACGTATCAGTTGCAGGTTCTTGTATGGATGCTGTTACAACCAATGACTCTGTTTCATTACTTTCAAACACTCGAGTTAGTGGAGGGGTCGGTGAAATGGGTAAACTTAGCTTCACATCAGTGGATCCATGCAGATGAGGTGGCTTGGATGTACCACCTGAGTACGCCTGGGACATCATTGAATCAAGAGATGATGTCGCAGCATCTATCATCCTGTCAGTTTTGTTTGTGGCAGTCACTGATACTTCATGATCTTTCCATGACCGCGGTCCTATCCCTGTCACACCCACAGAACTCGATGGTGCTTTCTCATCACTTTGTAGATCCACATAATACTGATTTGTGTCATATTGGTAATAGTAATCAGAATAATAGTAATTGTTTCCATAGTAATAATAGTTCTCCTTGTAGTCCTTTTCTGCAGGTGGTGGAGCTGGAGCCGGCATAGATGTGAATGTTATTTCAGGAATTTCAGGCTTTACTTCTGGTTTCGGTCTTGGGCCTTTACAATTATCAGGCACTACAAATGACATCACATGGCTCCTGGCATAAGCTCTCGGAGCCACACATATGCCATCTATGTACAAGTTTGGCATGTATAATCTTAAACTCAACAATCTACATCGACACTGTACAGGATTATTCATCACAGAAAGATACTCCAAGTAGGGCAAGTCAGTTGACAGACTCGGAGGTGCTGATGGAATTTTGTTGTCTTCAAGATACAGACGAAGCAGAAATCCTGCAGATTTCAAGACAGATATCGGAAAACGTTGGAATGAGTTTGCTCCAAGGTGAAGGACTTGGAGGTTGGGTTGATGGTTAAACAGGTCGACTGGTAGATATGCAAGCTTGTTTTCCTGCAACTGTAGACTGTTTAAGAGTTTCAAGTCGGAAAAGGCATTACTTGATATTGAAGCAATTTTGTTGTCACTCAGATCCAGGTATTGCAGTGCAAGCATATTTCTAAACAGCTGGTCGTCGATCTCTTTCAGGATGTTCCCACTCAGGTGAAGATTCTGAACTGATTTCCTCAATGGATCAAAAGCTTTCAGAGGAATATTACGTAGCGCGTTCATTGACAGGTCCAAAGTTTTCAAGTTCATGAGTCCATCCATAGAACCCTCTTCTATTTCACGAAGATTGCTCTGACTCAAATTCAGAGTTTTAAGGCTGTACAGGTTTGAAAACCATCCAGTTGGGATCTGGTTGATATTGCTTCTGGTCAAGTCAAGAACTTCTAAATTTACGAGGTCATCAAAGATCCCAGAAGATGTAATTTCATTCACATCATGTATTTCAAGTCTATGTAGACTTTCCAAGTCATTAAAAATAGTTCCAGGGACACTGTTCATTGACATAAGAACTATCTCCTGCAGATTCCTCGGGTCACCATCCTCAGAGACAACACCAAAATTGTTGAAGATCCTTTCAGGCAAACTAACTAGCTTTGGCATATTTAGGTGCACCTTTCTGAGAACAGTTAATCCTCGCAGAAAGTTCTCATAAACAAATGAAACTTCTGGACCATAGATGCTGATGACCTGAAGAGTCTTTTCTCCAAATTCAAGAAGCTGTTGGGGGATTTTTTCAACTTTGTACAGAGTCAAATGTAGTGTCTCAACTATGAGACCTGTAAAGATCATTTCAGGAATGGTTTCTCCTAAAAATGTAAATTCCAAAGTTTTCAGTTTTTGCAGATTCATGAAAACCCCAACATCAACTGACAAAGCCTCCAATCCATATATTGTTTGAAGGTTGTCAAGTCCAGTGAAGGATCCATTCTTTAAGTGAATAATACTGCTTCCGGTCAGATCAAGCTTTCTCAGGAGTGAACAATTTGAAAATAGATACCAATCAATTGAAGTGAATGTATTGTGTGCAAGGGACAGGTCCTGCAAAAATTCAAAATCACAGACAGGGTCAACTGTTGCAATATCAAAATTGTTGTTTGATAGGTCAAGGCAGTCTAAATCTCTTGGCAGACGCTCAGGTAGTCCTGTCAATCCAAGGCCTGAACAGTTTACTAACTTCATCAATCCATAGGAGTATTTGCTCGTTTGCACAGAACACTGGCATGGAGAACAGGTCCCTTCAATTGGCCATTCCATTGCTGTCACTATGGACGCTAACGTCAAGATGGATATCAACAGAATTAGAGTCCTCATGGCACTGGGACAAACTGGCTAAATGTCATCTGAAAATAAAGTCCATTGTGATGAGTTCACTTTTTTAAAGATTGGACATACATTTTTCTTCAGCACTGTCAAATTGTTAGCTTAAGATCATTTCGAATAAGAAGCATATACGCTACGGAAGTTTGGGAAGAAGCATTTGAAGATAAGAATAAAACGTATCATTTACAAATGATTTAGCCCTCACTGGCCTAGGACTAAAACCGATAAACGCCATATTCATTTCGTTTTGTTTTTCGAACAAACTGCAACAGTAAATATGACTCCAAGTTCCAAAAATTATCAGAATTAAACAGATATCCTACTTCGCTGCAACAAACCTGTTTATTAATTCCATTTCATTGGTTGACGTTGGTGTAATTTTATCAAACAACTTTGAAATTCCGTCTGCTGAAGACGTTTAGAGTAGCCTCCCTTACCATAAGGGCGATAACTCTTCAGTCGAAAGAGTAATGTACTCTAAGAAATATATATATTCTCACTGTATTTATCATTTTCAGATCTGTAACTTTCTCTCCATCAGTTGTTTTGCATTGAAATCTGGGTACAACTCTTTCTGGAGTGAACTTTATTTAACTTTAACTTCATACAGGACGAATTCGTTTTAACCAAAACCTTCTGGAAATTATTATCGATACAGAATCTGTCAGCTTCACCTGTCTATATATGATGATTCCAAATGATAGGCCTACAGGAGGAATTATCTCCATCGTGAAATACAAGCCGTTCTCAGAGCAACAGAGTTTATACATGATGGAATTGCACGATACAATAACTAGAAGCAAATAATTGCATTGCGTAAATCGCATACTTGATTTGCAAAAAAATGTCTATGATTATTTATACATACCAGAAGAAATAGTTTCCCTTCCTTGTGAAGAATACGTAAATGTACCCTAATGTTTGGAATGTGCTGGTATTAATTGCGCATTGTTTATTCAAACAGTTGATTGGCTAGCTAGGGACAATGCTCAGGTCATACAGAACCCCGCATTATGACAAGAGTGATGATAAACGAAACGTACGTGATGTGTAAGTGATGAGTGATCATGGCTGCTTCGGTGCTTCATCCGTGTTTGTGTTCGTCATCAAACTGCGCGTTACTGTGGGATATTTTCAGTCTAAATCAACGATCCTGTTGCATTAAAATTTGCCACTAATGAATAAATGTCACATAATAATAACAATATGATAATTCAAATATAAAACCATTATAGCGCGAAGTATAACTAGAACTCGCACTTGTTGTTTTGTAGTTTGGATTTTTTTAACGATGAGTAGGTGACAAACTGGGTTTTTCTAATTCATGACATGATCTCCAGGGCGCGAACGCACACGCGCACACACACGCACACACACTCACTCACTCACACTCTCACACACATACTCATATTGGAGTTTATGCTTTGTCCCACATTGTCAATCCAGCACCAGTGATTATATGAAGTCTTTATTGGTTGCACCAGGAAATTAATTCTGTAGCTAGCAGTGTTTTATCACAAACTCAACGCAAGCAAGTAACATCTTTAATAGGAAGGCGAACAAAACAAGTACTCATTCGCTTCGGATTCAGGCTTTCTCAGACATTCCATGTATTGTGTCTAATGCCAGATCAGAATGTTTCAAAAATGGTCAGTTCACTTTAGCAGTGGGTTAAGTTTCATGCACACAAACAGGTGTTGTGCGCCGGGGGACTATCGCTCTTGGTCGCTCTAGTGAGGTTAACATCCTGAAGAGCTCAGCCGTGAGGAAGCCTGAAAATTCTAATACCAGTTTAACGCTGTTTTTTGATCCTGAAGGCACATTCCTTTCATTTTAGCGAGAAGGGGTGCATTTGTGGCATATCAAGCAAAATGGACAATGATGCCATAATTGAACCTCAATCAATCAATCATTCCCGACTGCAGCATACAAGTCGTCGTTAAAAGCGGGTACTTCTTGTTACTCTGCTTAACGCTCGCCATATAGAGAATAAAACAAGGACTGGTTGGCTCGGTGTCTATACTGAAGCACTAAACTGTTGCTCCGAAATATATGTATACATAACGCGTTGTGAGCAGACTTGGTGAAATAGTACAAGAAAACAAAATATCATGTAACACCAATACTCCTCTATACAGAACAGGGCCTGGATTTTCGAAGCTCTCTTAGCTCTACGATAGTCGTAAGTTAATGTTAATGTATGGCACTTACGACTATCTTAGCGCTAAAAGAGCTTCGAAAATCGAGGCCCAGATGACAGTACAATATTATAAGCACGCTTAAATATCACAATGGGTGAGTGTTGGGTGAATTTAGTTTTAAGCCGCACTCAGCAATATTCTAGCTATATGGCAGCGGTCTGGAAATAATCGAGACTGGACCAGACAATACAGTGATCAACAGCACGAGCATCGATATACACAACTGGGATACAATGACATGTGTCAACCGAGTCGGCGAGCATGACCACCCGATCCTCTTACGACAAGCATGAGTTACTGGAGATCAATTCTAAGCCAGATCTTCACGGGTTTCACAATGGAGTAACTGCAATGGCTTCTTCAGAACCATCCAAGGTAGTTTCCGTGTAGCACGGGACAGTCGCTCGGTGACGGTGTTAGATTAGCATCTTCACTCCATCGTCACATATAATGGCATAAAGAAGTTGTATATTCATTATTCATTGAACAATCTCTGACCAGAGAAGGTCCTGGTTAGAATGAACCTTCAGTAACCCATGCTTGTCGTAAGAGGCGACTAACGGGATAGGGTGGTCAGGCTCGCTGGCTTGGTTGACACATGTCATCGGTTCCCTATTGCGCAAATAGATGCTCATGTTGTTGAACACAGGATTGTCTGGTCCAGACTCGATTATTTACAGACCGCCGTCATATGGCTGGAATATTGCTGAGTGCGACGTAAAACTAAACTCACTCATTGAACAATCTCCCTTGTTAATGCACAACAGCTAGGTATAGGATGTATTGATTGAATCGGTCGTAATATATCTACACCGTCACCTTCCTGCCCGTCTACGCTGGGGAATATCGTGACACGTTTGACAAATGTTAACGATGCAACTGGGGCTCATAAACAATTTAATTTCTATTGACGCTGTAGTTGCCTATATGACATTTGTTTCACAATGTCCTTCAAAATATGTGTATTCCTTCCACTGTTTCAGGGGCGGTGGGGTAGCCTAGTGGTTAAAGCGTTCGCTCGTCACGCTGAAGGCCCAGGTTCGATTCCCCGCATGGGTACAATGTGTGAAGCGCATTTCTGGATTCCACTTATTTACTCCAGTGTTTCAATCGTAGAATATATCTTTGATTTATTGCCAACCATTGCCACGGGGGTAGTTTTATATTAATTCTGTTACAGTCCAAATAGCCCCTGGTGCACGCCGTGGCCAGTTAACTCTGGTTATTGGCGGTGACGAATCCGTTTTGGCAGTACCGTAATTAAATATTTATGCTTTCCATGTTATCCTGCTGTTGATTTATACAAAAATATATCTCATAATTATACGTTTTCCTGTTTGTCGTCTGTTTGTCTTCAAATACTGTAAATGTACAACTTATTCTAGTCACAATATTACTGAAAGACATCCGTTGTGACATTTCCTTCACACGTGACAAGCAGTTGTGTTAAAGTGTCCTTAATATACTCCTTTGTGCAATATCCATGGAGTTGTCGGGTGAATTAATGTGAATTATATTCATTTTCTGATTTTTAATAATATGCGTTTAATCTGTCTCTGTGACGTGAAATGTGCAGTAAAATGTAGTCTGTATAGAAACAGTATAATCAAGGGTATCTTGAGGGCGCCTTGAAGACAGCGGGTTCTATCAGACATTTCTTTATGTTTATGTCTACGTCTTTGTGGAATGAGTTTAAAGATTATTTTAAGTTTGAGAAATATTTTTACGCATTACAAGTTATCAGAATAGTGCTGTCCATTCAAACAGGAAGATATGCCAGCAACAGCGTGAGTGAGTATGGTTTTACGCCGCTTTTAGCAATATCAGTTCAGGAGACACCAGAAATGGGCTTCACACATTGTACATATGTGGAGAATCGAACCCGGGTCTTCGGTGTGACGAGCGAACGCTTTAACCACTAGACTACCCCACCGCCCTCCTGCAACAGATGGCAGTGATAGATAGTGTATGTTCTGCAACCGTTGGGGAAAACATAAGATTCGTGTTCTGTTACTGTCCTCTGGATAGATAAGTGCGATGCCAGTTTTTACCATAACATCATTACCTTAGACGATCAGTATATAAAGTCCCACACTCTCTGGGTTAGGACATCAGGGAAGATCCAGGTTAGAGTGAGTGAGTTAAGTTTTACGCCGCATTCACAATATTCCAGCTATATGGCGGCAGATCCAGGTTAGAAATGATCTTAATCATTACATGCTTGACATAAGACTGACTGACTGAGTTTGGTTTTACGCCGCTTTTAGCAATATTCCAGCAACATCACGGCGGGGGGGCACCAGAAATGGGCTTCACACATTGTGCCCATGTGAGGATTCGAACCCGGGTCTTCGGCGTGACGAGCCAACGCTTTAACCATTAGGCTACCCCACCGCCGCCTTGACATAAGAGGCGACTAAGGGGATCGGGCGGTCAGGCTCACTGACTCGGAAAACACGTGTCATAATAAATCAATATAGATCGATGTTTATGGTGTCAATCACTGGATTGTCTGGTCCAGACTCGATTATTTACAGCCATGTAGCTGGAAACTGCTGAGTGCGGCGTTTAACAACAAAATAAGCTAAAAAAATCTCTGGGTTAGGCATCAGCACAATGAGCTAACTGACCCATGCACTCTGCCATCCATGCTTCCGAAACAAATGAAAGTCAAACAACAATATCATTCAATAACTTTATACTCTGTTTACAGAATATATTAAATGAATAAAAAGTCAAGTCTAGAATATTTTGCCCAGTCTATATTGCCTAGGCTCTGAAATTAGGCATCGCTATATGGGCTTCAAATATAATTCCAAATGGAGCCCAGAGCAATGGTTCATATCAGATAACCATATTTCTGTACTGAAGGTTAGCCTATATAGTCTGTTTGCAGTGAAAACGTACCGATGAATTTCACTTTAAACAAAAAAGTAAATCAAATAAAGTGAAATTAATATTGCGAATCGTCACAATTTTACCTTGCCAATTGAACATTTAAATCTCAGAAGTTTATCATCTTAGGATAAAAGTTGTTTAACAAACGATCATACATTGAAATCGCTATTATTGGTTTGTATTACAAAGGGGTAAGAGCAGTAGTTGGAACAGTGAAACAAATGCACGTGCGGTTCGTGATGAGCGTTAACTTAGACCAACTCTACTTGTTCTCGATGTTTCATTTGATGTGCATACCCCCTTGTAATACAAACCAATAATAGCGATTTGAAACTATGATAGTTTGTTAAACAACTTTTTATCCTAAGTTGAATAAAATTCTGAGAATTTAATGTTCATTTGGCAAGGTAAAAGTATGAGGATTCGCAATGGTAATTCCACTTTATCCGATTTACTTTTTGTTTAAATTGAAATTCATCGGTACGTTTTCACTGCAAACAGACTAAAGTGACTTCACTATGAGAGCCGAATTCTGTCAATCAAGTGCCCCCCCATTGTTCCCGTCAGCACGTGTGCGTGTCAAAAGCGAGCGTTTTGTTTCAGACTTTATGCCTAACATCGTTGTCTTTTGTCAACGTTGTAGCAATGTCACGTTCGGGGCGCCATAAACACGTAAAGCTCATCGTGACGTCGGAACTGAACCGTGGTGATATGAGCAAGGGCAGACACACAGACAAATAATGTATTCCAGTCTCACCTATATGATATACAAGTATAATACAATCAACCTGTTTGCACTCCGTACGAGCCTATCACTGCCCACACTAAAGGTGAAGGTCATCCATCTGAACATCGACGCACGCTTCAGTGCTCCTGACGTCACATCCTGGGATCGGCAGTCTAGATAATGGTTGCAGTGAAACCAACCGCGAAGACATTTACACAAAGATGAATGCAAACCAAAACCATCAATATACAAATCGTGTTGTTATGAAAGAATGTTTGAATATCGTATTTAGCTCACTCGTTCGTTCATTCATCTACTCGTTCGTTATCCACACTTTCACTCGTTCATTTTCACGTTATACGATCATGCTGAAACTATCTGATGCAATGTTAATTAAAAACACTGACTGACTGACTGAGTTTAGTTTTACGCCGCTTTTTAGCAATATTCCAGCAACATCACGGCGGGGAACACCAGAAATGGGCTTCACACATTGTGCCCATGTGGGGATTCGAACCCGGGTCTTCGGCATGACGAGCCAACGCTTTAACCATTAGGCTACCCCACCGCCCATTAATTAATAACACAGTCTGTCCTTCATTCCTACATTCATCAGATACATGTAATTAGTCTTTTATTCACACATTCGTATTATATATACTGCTCAAAAGACGTTAATGAACACTAAAGGTAATAACAGATAAAATATAGCAATATGAAAGAAGTGGGTGTTCTTGAACTTAAAGTCTGTTATACGGACATTGAAAGAAAATTTAGAAAAGCCATGCAAGTCTGGACTATGTGGCAAGTCTAGATTTCCACGTTTTCAGGAAATGAAGAAAGTGTCTGTGCTCCTTTTCATTACATTGATTATGATTTAGGAATTTTTTTTCTTCTGTAAAATAACAAAATTACATATACTCATCAAAAGAAGTTAAGGAACACCCAATTCTTTGATATCACCGCATTTAATGTCATGACAATAAGTTTAGTAGACTAACATCTAGTCTTGAAATGAGCATTTTATAATTCGCATATATATACCTATTTTTGCACCCGCGTTTACAAATAAAAGTATGCAGTCAGGGTATTTTATTTTGGTATATATAAAGCATCGCAAACAGTTCTTCACTGTTTAGTTCATCCTTGTGCGTTTCTACAGATGAGTCAACTTGGGACGCACAATAAGTTTAAACAACGGTATACCAAAGCCTTTGAACGGCATTCACCTGACGAAGGAGTAAGAATATACTCTCCAACATTAAAAAGTGGACATCCATAAATTCTTGCCTTTAATGGTATACCACGGGTGATTTATGCGTCAAAACATTCTCAAGACAAAGTGTACCAAATCGAAATTTTATTAGCCTAATCTCACCTAAAGGTGAATACCAAATCAAACATACGCTCTTACCCTTTCCAGACCTACTGATTTATCGTGTCTGCAATCACTATCCCCCTCCAATTAAACAATTATATTGGTATTTTTTCTATAGTAATGGGTATTACAGCAATAAGCTTTGGGCTAATTAAGACGGTTAATCTAACCCGAAGAGTTGTTACGTAATATTGTAAGTACCTCGTCGCCTTATGGCCCATTAGAGAGCAAAGGCTGCTCCCCACCTTCAGGCTATAGAAATACTGAACAATGCAATGTCCAGGGAATGCATGCTTAATAACATAGATGTTATACGGATGTTAATGTCTGACTTCACTGATGTCTTGGAGGTTAGCCGTGAACATCTGCAATACTACTGGTGCGACGTAAAACATTTACTCGATAGCTTTTGAAGGTATGCAGTCCACTACAGTTACTATTTGTTTGTCTATTGTTTAAAGCCTCACTGAGTAATATTCCAGCGTTATGGCGGAGGTCTGTACATAATCGAGACTGGACCGGATATTCCAGTGATTGATATAACAGTCCATCACGCAATCGGGAATCGGTGACATGTGTCAACCAAGTCAGCGAGCCTGACCACCAGATCCCGTTAGTCGCCTCTTGACGAGGATGGGTTGCTGAAGACCAATTTTAACCCGGATCTTCACGGGCCTTTAAGATCTGAGACTCAGATACTACTCCCGATCCCAGAAGTAAAATCCAAAGACTGAGGACGTAGAGATTTTGCCCATATAGCTTTGACTAAATGGGGCATGTTCCCAAACCACATCAAGGGGACGGTGGGGTAGCCTAGTGGTTAAAGCGTTCTCTCGTCACGTCGATTCCCCACATGGGTACAATGTGTGAAGCCCTGCCGTGATGTTGCTGGAATATTGCTAAAAGCGTCGTAAAACCATACTCACTCACACCCAACATCAAGGCTGTGGAGTCTGTTGAATAACTTTAAAAGAAAAGCAAGACAGATTTATTGTATCAAATTGTTGAAAACAATGTCCAAATGTCCTCATCTTAATGTGAGTAATTAAAGCATATTCTAGTCCAGGGTTTTATTGATAGATTATGTCCATACGATCTCGAGCACTGAGGGGCGGTGGGGTAGCCTAGTGGTTAAGGCGTTCGCTCGTCACGCCGAGGACCCGGGCTCGATTATCCACATGGGCACGATGTGCAAAGCCCATTCCTGGTGTCCCCCGCCGTGGCATTGCTGGAATATTACTAAAAGCGGCGTAAAACTAAACTCGCTCACTCGAGCACCGAACCTAGTTAAGCGTCCTGAACAAACTATGTTTAGAAGATGCGCCATTTATGTGCAGTTATTATAATTAATGTATAAGACATCCATTTTCCCAGAATCTTCCGTCTCACTGGGGCTCTTTTCCAATTTAAAAATAATTGTTTGTTTCCATCAAAAATATATATATTCAGAGACTAAACGTTAGTCTAGGCTACTACCATGGCGACCTGTTTTCATAAGTAATGAGCAGGATGAATCATAGTACGTATTTATCTTATATACTCCCTGGCTAATGTCAAGGTAATATGTGGTTTACGTAATATGTAACAATTATCCGTTTAGACATGCATATTTAGATTTAAGAGTCTTAAGCTAGTCCTATTTGCCATTGCAAACATTTCCCTACGAGTGTTCAAACTGTTTGCAAATCAGTTTTACGATTCATAACGCAATTAAAGAACCGAAAGGTATTTAGACGTTATAAACGAAACGGAAATACATAATAATAATAATAATAATATTATTGATTATTCTGAAATAGGCGTATTTGCATCACAGCCTGAAAAACGAGTTTTACCATGTCAAATATGAGACGTTCGTGTCATAAACATTGTTCCGTATTGTAGAACGTTACAGAATATCTGGTAATGTTATCACGGAGAACCGGTATGATATGGGAGTTATTTCCCTTTGATAATCAAGTCATGCGGGTTTGTGGTTGAACCAAGCAACTTTATAATACCAAGCCCCTAATTTTATATAGTAAAGAACCGCTTGAAATACTGGTCGTGCAACAGTGGCCAGTCCCCATAATAACGTTAATTAATCGGACTGGTGGGAATTTATAGCAGACGATCCGACCTGGCAGGTCACGTGACCAAAGCATAGCTGCATAATTAAGAGACGACATGGCGGACGGTGGAAGGATACTCCAGGGTCTATGAATCTCCAAATTTTAATCAAGTTTTCGCGTTTCAAAGGTCTTCCACACCTGGGCAGCCAAAATGACGACTCCTGTTAGCCCAGACATGAGTTTGGAAGACCTAAGACGAGAAGTCGAGCGGTTACAAGCCGATCTCGCCGAAACGACTCAGGAGAAGTTGCAGGCTGCGGAATATGGCCTGGCCGTTCTTGAGGAGAAACAACAGATTCAACAGCAGTTTGACGAACTCGAATCTATTTATGAAGGAGTAAAAGCGGAATTAGACTGTGCCAAAGAGGTGAGTGTGATATGAGATATTTATTCCCTGAAGGTGTGTGAGACGAAAGCTGCTTCACCATTGGGTGTGGTGATGCACTGAAAAACTGTCTCGCAATTTATCACAGGCCTCGCGGTTCTCTTCCTGTGGAAATGCGAGTTCTGAAGTTGGACCCGGTCGGTGACAGAAATCTTTTGATTGCATGTTTGCAAGAGTTATTTGTTGAAATTCAAGTCAAGTTAATCGTTTGTGGTATTTGTTTTACGAGCGTTGACCGTGTATGGACTCTTGCCATGCTTCGTTAACGGGTCAGACGTCAAAATTGACATTTCGACATATGTGAGTTGACCAGGTACCTTACCACATGGGCTGTTAAGTAGGGATAAGGATCGAAGATGTAAAATTGTGTTTCCTTAAAATTGTTTTAAGTCACTCGTTCTGTAACAGCCAATATGTTTGTACAGTGTGGCGTTCATGTAAACAGTTAAACAATTACTTATCCCCTTGAAGCAAATAATTGTGTCTTTTTTTATTAAACCAGAGAAGCTTGTTATAAAAGAATAAATACAAAACCGAACCACATTTCATACAATAAAATGGTACTGATGGTTTGTCTAGAGGGTGTCCTCACTATGTGAATAACACCACTCTTAGCCACAACACCTGTTGAACTACACTACCTTATCACAGTGCTATATATATGAAAGGTGAAGTGGGTCAGCTCAAAACTATGTACAAATACACTTGTCTGATATAATTAAGATAGAGCCCTCATTACTACTCACTGGTGAATATCTTCATGATTTTTGGGGCAGTGGGATAGCCTAGTGGTTAAAGCCGTTTCTCGTCACACCAAAGACTCTGGTTCAATTCCCCACATGGGTTCAATGTGTGAAGCACATTTTTGGTGTCCTCCGATGTGATATTGTTGGAATATTGCTAAAAGCGGCATAAAACCAAACTCACTCACCTCACTCACTTTTACCATGGGTAATATTTGATGATCAGTTTTAGAAAGGGAGTGTAACTTTGTGGATGTTTATTATAAATGGGCCCACTATGTATGCATGTTTGAACTATACATGAAGACACCTTTCGCATGTTTAGAAGTGCTTTTCAGCGACCCATGATCTGTGGACAGACTTGCCGACTTATTGGTTGGTGCATGTCATTGTATCCCAATTCTGTAGGTAGACGCTTATGATGTCAGTCACTGGAATGTCTGTTCTAGATTTGACTCTCTACAGACTGGTATCATATAGTATGAATATTGGTGAATGCAGAGTTGAAATGAAAAACTTCAACGGGTTTATCCCATGATCTCTTGATTTTATGCTTAAACATTCTAACATCACTTCTTTTCTTTAAGAGACCGCCTCTGTGGTGTAGTGGTTAGAGCATCTGCCCGGAGAGCGGAAGGTCGCGGGTTCGATCCCCGACCTCGTCATACCAAAAGACGTTAAAATATGGTACTTGTTGGTCCCTGCCTGGCGCTCGGCATTAATCGGCACAACAAGGACTGGTCGGCTCGGAGTCAGTATAATGTGTCTGAGTGGGGTATTCATTACTTTATTGCGGCATGGTATCTCAGTGGGCTAGCACTATAAAACCAGCGTAAGTCTGGGCTAGTACAAGCAGCCGCACATACACATACACACGCATGTACGTCGTCATATGAGCAAAATATTCTCAAGCACGGCGTTAAACCCAGTTTCACCTCACCTCACCTCTTTTCTTTAAGAGGCATATAGAAGTTGAGACACTAAGAAAGGATAATAATAAATGGATAGCAGTGTTAGAACCTACACCGAAACATTGCTCCCACTGTAATAAGGACGTTGTTCATCCCCATATTGTTATCCTTCCTCCTTTGAAAAATCAATTGAAATTGTCGTGTATTACTTTAAAATTCTTTCTTGAATGCGGTTCATGATTTGGAATGTAAAATCGTGGAGGGGAATTTTTCCCCCAAAGTATGTCATGTTATTGCCAGTAACCACGACAGAAGTGTTCAACTAAGCGTGACAGGAAATGAGTCACGGGAATTCTTTCTCAAAGTTGCAAAGCTGTTTCCTTCGGCATATGTAGAATATTGTGAAATTCATTCATAGTTTCAGGTTGCAGTTTGGAGGTCAGCTTCAGAGGCGAGATATTGCAGCTCATTCTTGTGGCACTGATTTGTTATAAGGCTTAATGTTGTTGCATTGTATACCTTGCGTATTGACATGGTCGTGTTGATCTTGATTGGTCATTTATATTTGTTAGATTGAAAAACGCTTCTTAAAATCAGATAAAATTAGCCTTCAAACCATTTAGTCCCCACCCTGCCATAGAACCTTAATTCTTAGATAACTGATCACGTTTTCTTCAAATGGATCAGATTGTCAGTCACTTGATTGACTGTCATCTTAATCTTATGACATATACTGCTGCTCCCAGTATCAAGCACTGGATTGTCTGGTCCAGACTTGCATTATTTACAGCCTGGTGTATATAAATATTTCGGAGTCTGTCAAACTGTCCTATTGTAATCCTCTTTTCAATTTGTGCATTTTTTACATATATAAATATTTGAGGAAAAAATACAGTTTTGTTATCATTTGTATCTTTTAATCTAAAATCTGCACTGAATTTCAGGCACTAATGCTGTTTACTTTATGAATTAATCAACTGAAATGTGATTTTGTCACCTCTTTATCTCCCCTGTATCCATGACTACAGAATGGCGGCAAATGACTATGCCAAACTTTGGTATGTAGAAAATAGGATCTGCATATATGATCAGTGTCAATCTCCATCAAACATTTTTGCTCCCAATATGTTGCAAAATCAATAACTGCATTACACACATGGCAAGACAGTGTTTTTACTTATACACAGCCCTAGTAGTCAATATGATCAATTATGCACCATAAGTTGATTATTAGAGAGCTAACACAAGTGAGTCTGCTTATTTGTGGCATGACTTAATTTGATGGCTAGCCAGGTTGATTGGATGGAAGAGATTACGCTGCCTTCTGAAGTGGTGCAGTCATATCAAGGGTCTGGGTTTGATTCCACTGTATTAAACCATGTGAAGCCCCCTGTTCCCCATATTGGTGTTACTCATTCACTCAACACTTCACTCCAAGCAAACTGAACATGGACTATTTCTTTAATTAAATAGCCTGTTAGTTAAACCGTTTGCTCGTCATGCTGAAGGCCCGGGTTCGATTCCCCACAGCAGCGTAGAACCATACTCACTCACTCACTCTTCGATTAAATTGATTTTGACAATTTTGACTGAACTGTGACAGGCACCTGCTGTAAACAATTGTACTGTACTTTTGGTTATTTTCCCAGGCGTATACTCTTGATATCATACAGCTCAACTTTGGATAAAGATAACCTGATTTATAAATCTCTTTAAATATACACCTGACATGTGAGAATCTGTTTTCTGCATCATGGTAAGATAAACAAAATAGCCTCATCTTATAAGTAGAGTAGTACTATACTGTTCTTTACGACCTTTCATTCACAGATATCATGAAGATATTAAATATTATCTGTTAACATGTAAAAGATCATTTGCTATTGCTAACACAAATTAACAATAGAACTTGTTCTGTGCCATACATGGATCGGCATGTATAACTCAAGTAAGGATATGCTTTGAAGTGGCATACGGTAGTAATGGGAAAGTTGAACGTATTTTTGTGAAGCTAGTCCAGTTCCCCAACAGCATGGAAGCTGAGGATTTCCTGAAAGTTTTTAATTACTTAACGCTGGAATGTCACAATTCTAAATTTACAGAGTGGTTGGTTATTCTCCGGGATTGTTCAAGACTTGGCAAACACTGCTACAAAAAGGCTTGTGTGGCATTTTGCTTAGGTCAACACCACACATCGGACTTGAATAACTTGTAGGGCAAGCAGGAGCCTTGCACTGCTTTATTACTAGGTGCTGGGATGCACTGGGAAGCTGGTTTGTAAAGAGTGAAAAAGCGGAATCAAATTAATATTTGAAAAATGGACATAGTGATGCAGTATAGAGATGATGCAGCTTCATACCTTGTCTACAGGAATAACTCTTGATGTTGGAAAGGAAGAAGTCATTTTCATTATGTAATCACACCATGTTCACGTTATATTTGTGATTTTACTGAAATACTATCTGTCTTTAAGAGGGCAGTGGGAGGGCCTAGTGGTTAAGGGAATGGCTTGTCATGCCAAAGGTCCGGGTTCGATTCCCCACGTTTGTACAATGTGTGAAGCCCATTTCTGGTGTCCCTGGCCGTGATATTGCTGGAATATTGCTAAAAGTGGCGTAAAACCATACTCACTCACTCACTATAGAGATGATGCAGCCCTACCGCCTTCACTACAGGAATAACTATTGATGTTAGGAAAGAATTCTTTTACCTGATGCAATCACACCGTGTTCAAGTTATTGTTGTGATGTTGCTGAAGTAATCTCTATCTTTAATTGTTTCAGTAATTTGTCAGCAGGAGATGCTAAGAAAGTTTTTGTTAATTGGGATGAAAATACAGCTTTAATTTAAACACTGAATATTCTCAAATGTTAAAAATGTAATCTTTAATCCACTCTAAGATGAGGATGGGACCAGCCATCAGTGTGTTAATATATGATGATATTATGCTGTTGAAATGTCTGATCTGCTTAATGGGTTGATTGTGGGGAGGTATTGGTGAACGTAAAAAGCTTAAAGAAGACTTAAGGTGTGTTAAGAAGATTACAACAATTTGCTAATCTGAGAGCAACATGTTCTTTCACTATTCACTGTTACCTTACTAACAGGACAGTACTCAACATTAACCCCTGCAATGCTTGGCTAGTCACTGATTCAGGGCTACTTTCAATGTAATTACCATAAAAAGACCGGTTAAGTCCCAATGCAATCCCATAATCCTCCGGTACTGAGGTACTGTCAGTGCCAAGATTTACACCCATATCGCCTCAATGAAGCGTGACAGGAATCTCGGTTACCGATTGTAGAGCAGTTGTTCAGCATTACTGAT